AATAGTTTTTGATATTGAAGTTTTTGATCTAAAAGCTTGGGTTCTTGTGCAATCTGCTCGTCTCTTTCATGTTTCTCGTGTTGTTGTTGTAATTATACTTGAGCCCGTTCGAATTCAAGTTGTGCATCTCTCTTCTTAACGTCCTCGGCTTGTTAAACTCGTAGTTTATCTCTCGAATATAGTTTGTTATTTTTCGCACCTATTCGTCTGCGAATTCAATTTGTTGTTCGATTTCGTCGCTCCATTCGCTAACATTTTCCACGGTTGCCCCAGATTTAAACTTCTGTTCTTCGATTGTTTCTTTAACGTCGCTTACGGACTTTATCGATGAACGTAGTCTTTCCGAGACTTCGATGTCTGCTTTGGCGATGGTAGAATCTGTCTTTTTAGCTGTAAAGTTCAAAAGCTTCAATTTTGTTTGTAGTTTAGCGATTTGCTCCTCCATATTTCGCTTGTTGAATTCACAATACTGCTGTGGGTCGCCACGTGTTCGGGATTTCTTGGCCTCCAAAAGAATAGTATCCCAAAACAAATCACATAGATATAGTTTATTAGTTTTTCTCAGTAGTTTTAATACACGCCCTGTCTTCGACCCAAAAATATAAATTGACTAAAAATATGTAAACAAACGCCACACCACAGAATAAGGCACACAGAAGGTCGACTCGAGTAACCGCTGCCACGCCATGATTCATCATCAAAATACTGACGCCATGGTCCTAGCCAGTGCACGTTTGAGAGGCATTCCCCCCTGGACGTCCGCCATTTTGAATAATATCAGGGGGTGAATGCCTCTCAAACGCGCACTGGCTAGGACCATGGCGTCAGCATTTGATGACGAATTACGGGTTACGCCAAAATCATAGGAAAATCATAGGAAAAACCAAGAAGTCGGCCTTCTGTGTGCCTTATTCTGTGGCCACACCATCGTACGATGTGACGTAGAATCTATTACTTCCGGTTTCCTATTTCCGGACAAGGCATGTCTCTACTCGTAGAAACTTCGCTCACAGTTTTTGTATTTCCTGAACGCAGAAGAAAGTCGAAAATACTTTCTGGCGAATTAAAAATACTAAAAATAGATCATAAAAAATAACCAATAAAAATAGATAGATCTGTGTAAAATTGAACCTAAAGTTATCTAGCATGGGTAAGAAGAATGAGCTTTCCATGGCCGGGCCCGCAAACCACGACCTTCAGAATACTCAGCCTATAGTACCTAGGCCCCAGTCATGGGTTCGATTCTCTCGTTGCGCATCAGTGAAATGGGCTCTGGAATGCATAGGGACTTTAAGATGTAGGACGGCAAAACGACGACGACGGCCAAAACAAATTCACTCAAATAAATGATTGTAATGAAATCTTATCGTATATTATCAATCGTATCATTTTAATACAGCTTGAAGAGATCAAAACAGAGGCTTTGTATTGAGTAGAGTTCCACATTAGTACTGAACCAATTTGCTGAGTACCCACTTCTTACGTACTAAAATACAAACGTTGTACACAGGACGTAAAGCTCTGGTTTATCCGTTGTAAACAAACCGTGGACAACGTCTAAATCTCCCATGGGATTTTAATTATTTCTTTCTTTCTTAAATATTATTAATTTCATTGTATTACTAGCCGTAAACACGCGTGTCTTGACCCCCCCCCAATTTAATACTTTGAAATACAGTAACTTAATTTATTCATAATCGTTGTCATTGGAATTTTACTGCCAGTCTGAAGATGTCTTGCGACTTGAGTTAAGACGAAATGTCTTTTATTAGAACTTTTATATACATATTTGTGTGTATGATTCCATTTAATGCTGGGCTCCTATTTTCGTTGCAGGAATATCGTTTATATTCGCTCAGCATCAAACTCTTACTCGTATCAGGTAGTTTTTTGATTGACTCATTCACTCAAGAACATTTTAGAATCATATACATCTTGTCATCATAGATGTGAATAAGACAAAATAAAAGCTAGAAATAGTATAAACCTGTAACACTGTGTGTACATTTTCGCTCGTTGCAAACACTTCTTGTGACACGCCATACCACATAAGCGACACTGATACCCGGATTTTGTCCAGATCTAAAAGGAAGAACACAAAAAGAGAACTGAACGACAGAAAGGAGTATGGCATGAAGGATTTAATAAATACCAAGTGAATTATACCTACACAGTTCTTCTCGCCCCCTAGGTCTGTGCTCTGACTAACACAGAAGGCTTTGTAATAGGTACACGGACCTGCCAAGCCTTGCCAGTTTTTAAAACCAATCGTAGTAACCTCAAGCGACAGAAGATTTCTATACTTTCTACTCTGTCTTTTAGAAAAAGTGAATTTTTTTTCATTCTTTATCACTTTAAGACTGAGGAACGTTCCCACCATTCAGTAATGATTTGACTGTCGTGCAATTATTGAATCAAATAGATGAAATTTTCGATCTTTTGAATTCTTAATTGCTTGCACATGACGTCACTACGTGTCATTAGGCGCCATCTTGGTTGATTTTAAAGTTTTGTCCAGCCGTTTACATCGATTTGTTTTGAAAACATCTTACTGTATCATGGATAGTTTACGATTTCTGGCAGAATACGACAAAGAATGAAGAATATAGATTTTTAGTTGCCACGAATATCAACCAAGATGGCGTCGATTGCAAACGAGCAATTAAGACGTAATGATATGTGTATATGATATTTAACAGGACACCAACAAAAACATGGCATATCAAAAGAAAAAGTATCGTAAAGAAGAAAAAGAATATCACGACAACGTTCTTCCCAACAGTCGGGATAGTTTTTGCTATCTGTTCGAAGTGAATGTTTCGGAGTTTTAAATAAGTTTTAAAATGTCCATGAATATGTTTGACACAATAAAATAATAAAGGAATCCTACCTTTCAAGTTAAACACAAAATGTTGTGCTTCTTTCGTTTTCAGGGGACGATTGTTTTAATATTTCGTCAATTTTCAGAATTTTGAAACCAAATTTGCCGAATCACTCTTTTTGAAAAGCATTATTTACAAGTCTGCTAGTAAATATTGCGTCAGATCCTGCCAATCAGAACGCGCGAAAGCTCGACATTTAGTATGCAAAATTTATACTAATATATGATATATGTACTGCATGCGTACCTTTTTCGAACAGAATTCACACTTGGTTTGATAGTAAAACTGGGTATCCCCAAAGTTGTGCTTTGTTACTTCAACACTACATATATAATCAAAAGAAGCTTGTTGTAACAAGACCGAGATGACGTATCGCGCGGCAATACGCTTGAAAGGTATTTTTACACGTTTTACACATGTTAATCTTACATGTCATCCAGCGGAATAAACGACATCACGCGCAAAATGACTTTGCAATAACTCTCTAATAATATTTACTATACATACCTAAATAAGCATTTGGCAAACCAAGCTATATACTGGCAAAACAAATAGGTAAAAAACAATCCACTGTCCAATACAGGGCATTACAATATGCCGTGGAAATGAATTATATATAAACATTAAAAATAAAAAATTGCACTCACTCTAAAATTTCTAGTTGATCGGAAGACTGGGACAATTCCTTAAACCAAAATAAAAAATATTTAAGTTCTACGCATGGCGATAAATACAATTCTTTTCTTTAGTGGAAAGAACCCGGAATAGGCCAAAGCTTTTGACCAGCAAGCCCGGATCTTCACCGGTGTACAATAATAACTTTGTACAGAGAAATATCGGACCGAGGTCTTTTTTGTACAACCGAGCCTGTAGGGCGAGGTTTGTACAAAAAGACCGAGGTCCGATATTTTTCTGTACATACCGAGCAAGCGAGGTTAATAAAAGTATATTATATGGCATTTATATAGGCATTTATACTTGAAACAAACAAGAAATGCATGATTTGAAGTGCATATTAGTAGCGTGGTACACATTTGGTCAAAGAAAACAAAAAATACCAATGTATTCCTTCTTTTCCACTAAAAACCATTCGCAGATATCTTATTAATAACAAATTAAATTATAATTTTCAATTAGTTTTGCTGTTTTGTTGTAAAGTGCATGCGTTTGTTTTTACGTAATGGACCGCCGTTCCATTACTGGAAATAATTGGCCGCTGAAAGTGCTTCTCTGCCAATCACGGTCCGCCATTTCACCGGAAGTGATGCTTGCCATATAATAAATTGTCAATATTATAACAAGCACAAATAATAAACAGTTATTGGATTGTGATATCAAGATCGATGTAAGAGTTATCAGTCGCGAGATTGATAACACTTACTGAGACCTTGATAATTCTGGGTATCACAAAAACAGAACTTTACAGTATCATTAACTGTTTGTTATACATTGCATTTTTATAACTCTTGCGACAGATAATGATTTGTCGCACAAAACAACGTTTGGTCTTCAAAAATAAGCAGTGAAAACGATTTAAAATATCACAATAACAGCATAAAAAAAAGAAAAAGAAATCTCATTTACGTATTAAAGTTTCGATAAAAATACCAAAAAGGTCTGCTTTTTGCACAAAAACATTCACGAAAATGCCGTCCGTTCATATTGCTTTATCTTGTTTTTATTCTTGTATTTAAACTGCCGCTTGCTATAAAATGACCTTCCGCTGGCTCAACTTACGCACAACTCAGTTATCTTCTGGTTACGCTTGTAGCGACTGCAATGTATAATAATGTTATTTACATGTCACAACATGAAACAATAGAGAGCTTAAGCTTCGCGTTATACGTCAAACGGCAAAGCCTGACAAAGAAAAATTCTTCTGATTCGCAATGCTCGTAAATTAATAAACCAGAGATTTAGATTCAAGAAAGTTCGGAAGGTGCGAAATATTAATAACATTCCAACGGTCGGATCCCGACCATTGGAATATAAGCAGACTTTACAGCATCTCTAAATCGATGTCAAAATACGAAATTTCGGCACACTCCTTGCCAAGATGGCGGAAATTGAAGCCGCTATTGGACGTCAGTTCCAGTCCCTTTCTATTGTTTTTGTCTGCGCGGTTAACACGAAACTGGCTTCACTTTTTGGACTCGACTTCTCGCTCCAGATTATATATGGAGCGTACTGCCTCAACCTCGACCATTGTTTGGTTTTCATGCATTTTTGGGCAGCAAACCGTACCGGACAGTGAACCGGGACAAACAAAAGAATGAATTTACCTGAACAGAAACACATTACGATTGTTTATAGGATTAGTATACTACTTACTTCACAAAATCACTTTTTCGCTTGTTCTTATCTACGACGATGACCCTGGGGACAGTGAAATGAATATAACTGGGACGCTACCTCCAACCGGAAATTTGAAGCCAGACTTGAAGGCCAGTCCCAGTCCTTTCACGCATGCAAAGAGCGCCTAATCAGTCAATTATGATATAAACACGCATGTCTTGAACCCCAAACACGCGTGTCTGTCTCAAAGATTGGCAGTTTATCTGAAGGTAGCGTTGCAGTTATATTCATGTCAATGCCCTGGGGACGAGGTTGGTTATCCTCTGTGACTGTAACCTACGATCAGGGCTTGAAGACTGTAACCTGCGATCAGGTTACTGTGGCTGCGCAGTTAGCCGCCAAAAAGTCGAACAAAAGGCCGATTTATCATCTCGAATAATATTTGTATACCTTATCGATTTTCTCCGATGTAAGAACCTTTGTCTTAACAGATGTTTCTTCGTCATTATCAAATGATGGTTTGTAAGTAAAAGCCAATGTTATATCACCGCCACATGCAACTCTATTTAGACCAGGATGACCATTGAGATGAGATCGACTACATAAAGAAGGACAGCCTTATGATATATTTCTCAACCACACGTATTTTTATGGCAGAGATAAGAAAACATTTCCATGTTTCTATACAGGTGGTCTGGCATTTACAAGAAAACCCATTTGGTTTTTCAAAATTCGTGAAGAACCTAGAACTGGCCAATAATACATGTGGAAGGTGTAGATGAAACATAATTGACCGTATGAAACATTCCAGCCGCAAAACGAGGACAACCATTTCAGCCAAACCGTTATTTCCTAAAATTTTTGGTTGGTCCTTGAACTAAATATTGGTGTTCCATTTGCATTCTGTTCGGAATATTTTCTGTGTAAATGGAACCATACAATGAAACCATACGTAAAATCTATGATGTATATCGTAATACAGGAGCACTTTTATGTATGATGTATATCACCATGATATACATCATCATGATATACATCACCTGACCCTCATCCCACCCCCACTCTAATCCCTCCTAACCGGAGGCACATAACCCATCTAACCCATCACCCTGATGGGGAGGGGGAGAACGAAAAACTATATTTAAGTATGACCGTATGATAATATAGGCTATACATCATAATAATGAAGAGACCATGCTGCAAGAATATGATCAAGAATTCAAAGCTTTATAGTTTAGGTGGGGGAGAACCAACCAAGCTCTACTCATATTTATCAAGTACAGGGAAGTTACCAAACCTAGTAAGTCTCTGCCCTCGACCTGCACTACCAGGCTTTAGCTCGTGAGCACTCCCCCCCCCCCCAACCCTACCCCTATCATCCCAGCTACAAAACAAAACATTCGTGGGATGTTGGCACACAGTGCATTCGTGCATGTGACTTTCACTTTGCGACGAGGGCTCGTTCATATATGGAATTAATACACAAGCCGTTTTGAGATTTTATAGCAATTTCGCCTTAGTGGTATGTATAAGAAAATTATATCCAGTTTGATTCCACTAAGCAAAGAAGGTTTTCTCCGGATGTTATAGAAACGCTGGTCCACTGAAGAATAGACCTAACATGACTATCCGGTATATCACAAACTATATCTTATAAACTACCACACAGTAGATAACACTTCAAACCTTGCCAATACTTTGTCGTACGCTGTTGAAACAAGCACATATTCCTGTTGGTGATATCGATCACCAGTTTCCAAACATTGAACAGCAATATCTGTTAACGGGATGGTGACCTGTTACACAAAAAAACAAAAAAACGCTATGGAGTTACTGAACACGGTAAATGAAACTAGATCAGAATTTTTTTCTAGGAAGTCCACAAATAGGTCACAATCAAAAGGAGACATTTTTCCAGTGTGTAGGTTTATTGCACTCTATGAATTCTACTAAAGCTGCCATATCTGGTCAGAAAACATATAAACTAGGAGAGGAGAAAACTGGTACAACAGAGGCAGACATTGAACAAGTCTGCTGATCTAGTCCGATCATTTTTCCTTAAAGTTAGGTGAATTATTAAATTGCGTCAGTTGACTTTTAGAATAGAAGAAAAACATTCTCATTGTGTTTTGTTTTGTTTTGTTTTGTTTTGTTTTGTTTTGTTTTGTTGTAATATATAATACTTGATGTTATTTGATAGAGGGTCCTGGGTAAGATTAGCTTTTGCTAACCAGGTTTTGCTTTCCCTCTTTAAACTCCCTCTTTAAATAAAGTTTCTATTCCATTCTGACTATTCTATTTTAAGTTAATAAAGGTTTGATGAGTGTTCCAACTATGTTTTAACTTAAATAGAATACATGATAGTGTTGAGAAAGCATAAAGAACAGCTGACCAAGGTCGTGTGACTGCCAACTCTCATCCTCGTTTCATCTGGGCTTAAATACTCTTCAGTAGCGCGCTACGCAGGCTATACATAGTGGTTTATAGGTCAGATTCCCGACTTCGTAAAAAAGGTGCTGACTAGAGCGGGCGTATTATTTTAATTCTGCCATGACTTACATAACCCAGAAGTATGTCTTTCGTTTGCTGCTCTTCGCTATTGTCTTCTTTTGCAGATTCAATAAGAATTCGATACCAGACAAGAACATTGAGATATTTATGTTCCTTTTCCACTCGAAGTTCAAATGTCTCATTCCAATAAGGATTCTAAATAATAACATGATACATATGTTGTGAATTAAATTTCAATTTAAAGCCTGAATTTTTCAATAAGTATTCGCTCGTAGGGATGCAACGTAAGACAGGAGATGACGTTTCAATGCAATTATATTGGGGATCCACCAGTAGTTATTTAAGTTAATATTTTTTATATTATCATACATTTCGTCCTTAGTCTTAAGCCTAGCACAAAGTCCAAAGTTAGTACCTCAAATCCCTGGATACAAGTATTTTTGTGACGTTTTCATAAGTATTATAGCCTACTACCCTTAGGTAGCATTGTGAAAAGTAAGTTGCATGAGCCTTCAATTTCATAACCATTTAAAACGGCACTATTAAATACAATGTTACAATCAGGTACTGAGGCAGTTAGCATAAAAAACTCATCAGTTATAATCTTGAACTGTCTGTGCCAATGTAGGTAGTGCCAATAATATGAACAAGCTGTCGTTGGTAGGGATGCAACTACCTCGAAAATATAAGGAGAATTGACCATTTGCGTAATAGACTAAATTTTGAACTAAACAAGTCAAGACAAAAATTTCATCACAGCTTGAAGGAGCATCACAAAATTAGTAATATTCCCAAGTTTTGTTGCAAATTGTTGTAAAATGCGGAAAATATAGCCTTGCGAAATTTGCAATTTTCAGTCATTTTAGATTACAAACGGGAAATTGACAGCCCCAAACCCTTCGAGGCTGTCAATTTCCGGTTTGTAATCTAAAATGACTGAAAATTGCAAATTTCGCAAGGCTATATTTTCCGCATTTTACAACATTTTGCAACGAAACTTTGGAATATTACTAATTTTGTGATGCTCTTTCAAGCTGTAATGAAATTTTTGTTGATATCAAAATTTAGTCTATTACGCAAATGGTCAATAGGCCCTTCCTCTGGAGAGTGAATTTTTCAATCTTTTTTACAGGCTATAGATTATGCGGTGCCAAGATTATGCGGTAGGTCCATTATAATAGTCATGACGATCTCAAACTATCTGAAAAAATATTCCAAGAAATAATAATGCCATCTTGAAATTCAAGAATTGAATTAATACAAGACGAACGTTTGGAACTGTGAATTTTCGACTTTACTTCGAAGTCATCATCGGACAGATTGAAATGCAATACAGTTATTTTAAAATTTGATAACATTCTTTATACTTGATAAACTTCCTGGTACACCTGTTACACGAACCATAAAAAGGCAGAAACTGACCAGAAACGATGATATACACGAAGTTGCAGATAATTGGTTAAACGTCTCAAATGAATTGGTTCGTGTGAGCAAATCGTGCTCCCCCCAACTTCTAGCACGAAAAAGTCACTCTGTAATGATATATTCTTACCTTAGACGATTTAATAAATTTCGTCTTTTTTTCAGTATTACTTGATCCTTTCTCATAATCGTCGCCAAATGTTTCCTCACTTTCATTACTCTTTTGTTGAGATTTCTCAAGTAACAGGCTGACGTCAGTGTTATACCTTCCAGATTTTTCATATTCACTTTTGCTGTATTTAAAAAAATACAAGATAATTTCCTTGCACGCATTGAAGTGGACACAGTGTGTTGCCAAGTCGTGCATGGGAAACACTTTCGCATGCTATACTTTGCCGCGGCGAATTCAGGCTTCGCTTAATGTTAAGGCGGATTATTGCCAGCCATGCAGGGCGAAACTTCGCTATTACAACTGCAGGGGTATTAGTTTTAGTTTCTTTTGCCCGACAAGAAGGGCGTGGCTAAAATTTCATCGTATTCCCAAAACGTCTGTCGATCAAAAGTTTCCAATCAAAAAGTTGGTTCCAATTTAAATTAACAAAACTTTAAAAAAACATCATTCGTTGACTACAAGGTATATTTTCTTAATCTACCACACATTTGTTCCGCTGTAACAATGATTAAACCGTCCCTGTTGTCAGCTGATGATTTTTTTCCGATGACGAGTACCACTTGTCCAAAGTACCACTTGTTGAAAATATTATTTTAAAAGGTGAATCGGCTGGACAAATCGCATTGTGTAAGAGTGACTTATACAAGACTTTTCAGTGCATATATGTTGAGTGTATATAAAATTACCATAATAAAGCTGGAAAGATAAATAACACAAACCTTACTGATAGGTTTAAATTCGATATGGTGTCATCACTTTTTCCTGGAAAGCAAAGGAATTTTTTTTTTTGAAAACCTGTCAACAAATTCCTTTAAGCAAATTCATTTTCGTATCACATTCAGTGCTCGTTTGCAACTGGACGTTTTATTACTTTAGGCATTTACATGAAAGAACATATAGACAAGTTTTCTATAATTTAAAATCAAAATGTGCCCAGTTCCTTGAGCAAATTTACATAATTAAATTACTTATATGTTTAAATTACTTATATGTTTGTTATATGTTTAACGTCGTAGCTGCCTTTGGATTGCCCACATCTCGCCGAAACAGAATATATTTTGTACTATAAGAACCCAAGTTGAACTTGTAGATGCGATCTTGCCAAGATTTTGTGAAGAAAAATCTTGGCATTTGATGAATTTCTCATTTTTCAAAATGATTTTCTCATTTTCTTGCCAAGAACTCGGAACATTGTAAAAAGAAAATTCGACTACTTGTTTCTCAAGATTTTGCCAGGATCTTGCCAAGATGGCACCTTGCAATACCTTGCCATGATCCATTCACCCGTGGCCATGATTTTGTTAAATTCTTGCCAAGATCTTGGTATGATATTTCAAGATACTGGCGTGATCAGGGGCGTAACTTGGGTATCAGCATTTGGGGGGTGTCAACAATATTTGCCCAATAAAATCAAGTTTTGCCCGACAAAAAGGGGCGTGGACAGTAGTTCTACACAAGTATTTGCTAATGTATATTATGAATATGCACTATTACTATAACATCATCGTCAAAGGTATGGATGTCAATACAGTCATTTAAATTCGATAAATCTATCATGTTCCCAAACGAATAACGAATTATTGTTTTTATAGTACTTCATTTCTTGCTGATTAAAATGCATGATCCAAGCTAAGAACAATGCTAAAAACAAAACTCGGTCGTCGGTCAATCTTCAAATTCTGCAATACGGTTTTTTCGTTGTTTACCTACAGTAAAGCAAGTTAACCTTGCCCAACAAATAGCACGTGCTTTGAACAAGTTGCCTGACAAAATTGCATTTGTAAACACCCCCCCCTCCCACCCAGGAGTTACGCCGTAAACACCCTCCCCCAGGAGTTACGCCCCTGGGCGTGATCTTGAAGATACTGCCTGATATGTAATGATGTTTGAAGATGTTGTGATCTTGGCAAGATTTGCCAACAAGATCATGCTATGATTGTGCCATGACCCTGCTAAAATCTTGTCAAGATCTTGGTAGGAAATTTTATCATGATTTCCCAGAAATGAACATTATTATAATAACCTCTAAAAGACTGACTGTCATCCGGACCATTCTTAATCAATGGCATCACAATATTAATAAATTCATCTTGAAAATCGTCAACGTCATCAAACTCAGGAGAATTTTCTCCAGTAATTGAGGCCGAGTCGAACTCAATTTTCTGCGAAAGTTCTTGCGTCTTCGACATTGGCATGTATGACGGTGGCCTTTTGACCATAATGGAAAGCCTGCAAGAAAAAAGAAAATTACTACATCAACCAAAGAAAATATCAATTTTGTTTTAATCACAGTTTTGTCCTTTCCCAAACTGCTAAATTCAGTAAAACAGATGGAAATTTTAGGAAAATATACTCGACTAACTTCACTAGCGTTTTGCCTCCCTTTCCCCAACCAATGTTGCCATTATCCCCCCCCCCCTCCAATTTAAAGCGTAATTCAACAACCTTGTCCTGGGGGGGGGGGGGGTTCAGGTAAGATAAACTACAATTTAATTAAACTCTCACAGAGACAAATTTGAAATTTATTAACAAGTTATGTCCACGAATTGTAACTTGCAAAATGGCTCAGACCAGTCCAGATATAGCCTCACAACTTTGACAAAATGGAAGAAAAGAGTTCACTTGAAAATTTGGCCCGTCTGTAGTTTAAGGTGGTTGCTCAACGTGTCTTCGCGTTATAGATTCATGAATATACTGACCCTAGCTCTTATCCTGATCGAGACAAAACAGAGAGACATGAAACTATATCACGTCTTTGTTCTTCTACCTTTGTTCCGAACGAAGTTCACGACGAATTTTGCCAAAACGGGCAGAAGAACGAAGACAGGATAATGGTACGGATTCAGGTCTCCCTGTTTTGTCTGGGTCATGAACAGTTGGACATGGATCTATAACCGTCTTCGTTGACAACCACCAGTGACCACTAACAACCACCAGTGACCATAAACTCAAATATAAGTGTTGCCAGTAGGTCAGCCATTCCGCACGTTGTTACCAATAATTTATTGTAATTGTAAAGCGATTGTATGCAATAAAGTATTGGGTTGTAATCGTTTTACAATTACAATTACAATTACAATAACCTTAATACTGACCCTGATCCTAACCCCTTTTACCCTAATCTAAACGTGATGACTTTTTTTTAACAATCAATGTCGCGTTCATGCCGTTTGATGTTTGAACGGCTAAAGCGTGAAACGTTTAAACTAATATTATTAATATTACCTTCTACTTGATCCTCGAATAAGTTTTGACGCTTGTTTGGCATCAACAACAGGCATTCCATTAATTTCCAATATAATATCACCTTCCTTTAGAGAACTATAGTCAACTGGAGATTCGGGGTCGATACTGTCTATAACTATTTTCTTCCGGTTGCTATCTCCCTCAGTGCAAGAAACCTCGCGAAATGTGAGACCAATTTTTCGCTCGTTATTTCGTACTACCTCGTACTGGTAAATCAGAGCAAATGTTTTATGATTAGATGTTCTCCACTCAGAGTACGGTAAAACTGAGGAGTGGGATATTAGATCTAATTTCCATCATGAATCGAGAGGATGGGCTTCATCAGGCCGTAGGTTCACTATTGAGAATAGAGAGGTTCAGATCTGACGTCCACTACCGCGTCAGGGACCATTAGCCAATCAGATGCGTTTGATACATCCGTTTAACCAATCAGATGCGTACTAGGCCAGTGAGTGGTAGCGGTAGCGGTAGTGGAAGTCAAATTTGAACCTCCCTATTGTATACGTAAAACAACGGTAAAACGCTGCAATATATTCACGCATGCGAAAATCTGCATTAATTTTGGTACAACTGGCCAAGCAATGTTTCAAGTAAACCTAAAATAATGCTAAAAGCATGAGACAGACCAGTCGGCATTTTATCCGGATTGGTGACAACATGGCCCATGCTTTGCTGCTTTATATCAGCTTGCAAAGTACTGTGGCAGAACTATATACTTGTAGTCGCCATCTTTTTCCGTTCTGTAAATTGGATGAAGAAATTACGTCCTCAAATGTAGTTATTACGTAGGAAAACTAATTAATTTGTATACCAATGTTCTTATTGTTTAAATCAATAATTATTTAATTAAACGTGTCTTAAGTCATCTCAAGGTCCCCGAGGGGTTGGCACCTTTTTCAAGCTGCTCGCATGCACCTATTTTCAGCTTCTTGAGAAACCGACTTGAACCAAAACTATTATTTAATAGTCGGTCTCTTTGCCCGTCATGAAGGCTGGCAAAACATAAAGACAACTGCATGGTTTCATACCTCTGCGATGGGCCATAATGAAGGATCGTCATTCTTTCGTTCTGCAAAAGGAATGTAATCAACAGACAGACTACAGAATGTCCAACATTCAACATTACTTTTCTTCTTCAACGGCAAACGGCTGCAACCAATGACTTGAACAGCCACTGAACCAACTGTCACTTGCGAGTTGTGAATATATAACCCGTTTTGTTCGTCCTGAGGGATTTTTGTTCGAAGAAAAGGTTTATAACGAATGATATAATTTGGTAAAATATACTTTCTTCGAATGACTTTTTTAAAGTGTCTGATGATTAATGAATTCATTTGTTGAAAGTTTTTGCCCTCAAATCGAGACTCAGCATCAAGCTCAATCGTCGGTTCAGGCTCCTAAATAACAGAAAATATTACGAACATATTTAAACCATGCAACATGGAGGTAGGCAGGGGTGTAGAATAGGAAGGGGAGTAGAACATTTTACAGAACTGGAAGTTTGCAGATTGAACTCGCAATGCCATACGTTTCCAAAATGGGCAAATGTTCGAAAATTTGAAGAACATTTAAATCCTAAACGTGGAAAACTGCGAATTCAACCGACCATTTTAAGTCAGAACGTATATTTGGTAATTTTTTATCGCAATGATTCGATAAATGTGACTGTCATTTGACAGCTGGAAGCCTGATCTTTATAAACACGAAACAGAAAACCTATAAAGTTCGTAATATGTACAGTAACACACTGAAAATACACAGTAAGATATTTTCCTTATCTTCACTATTCAACGCCTTCCATTGCACCCTCAGCGGTGCATTTTTGTACTATGCGTGATGTTTGGTTTTCACGCTCAGCAAAATTGTGAATAAAAGACATATTTGGTCGAAAATTGGTGACACTGGCCCTTTAAATGACCAGAATTTAAAGAGGGTGCTATATATAAAGCATAGATATATTATGGATTTAGTGGTGCAAATATGATTTCCATAGTATGCACGTCACTATTTTTTCCTGCGATTTATTTACATGCGATTGATCATTTAATATACTTGGCAGTTCATACGAATTACGATAGTTAATAGAAAAGATGATTTGAAAACTCAATAGAATTACAATATAAGTTAATTAATATACGATAATTCATTATCTATACTTTGTTTAGGTTTATTCAGAAATGTGGTCCTTCATCGTCACGTGCGTATTGTATTTTTGTCCAAATAACCAATAGCAATGTTTTAGGAAAGTTAGCAATCCGTGACTCGAACAAAGTGGGTAACTTAAAACTTGCTATTTTGGTGGATTTGGTATAGATGAGTTTTAACATAGACGAGTTATATTGTTATTGTAATGAGTTTCCAAACCATCTCTTCTATTAACTATATGGATTTACCCACCTCGTAAAATGAAAAGAACCAACACGAGGTAGGATATCGCCGAAAACTAAGTTTCACCTTTCCTGATATTTTGACAACCTTGATGGACAAATAAACAGACTTGCTCAAGGCTAGGGCGAGATCAGCGCTGACGTAAAATCCCCCAGAATAAGTAATGTTGAGTGCAATATCAATTTCGTCAGGAACATCTTCGGCGCTTTGGGATCTGATGTTTATCAATGCAGCATCTATAAACATTTGAAATATTAAGATCTGTTAAAGAGTCAATTTAATTTTGCATTAACTTTTATGCAATATATACCTGTAGCTCAATTTATAGTCTACCAAATGCGGTCTCATAATAGAAAAGGTTTAATTACAGCTTTGTTGCACACTCAGTTATTCAGCTATCATTTAAAGGTTTTCAGAAATTACTGGGGAGGGGGCATTTTCTGTCTCTCTATCTCCTATCTTCACCGTATTACAGTATTTCAGAAACGTGTTATTAGAATCTTAAATAAACGTAAATTTGAGGCACACACTAGCTAGCCCTATATATTTAAGAAACTTGGCTTATTGAAATTGGATGATATTTGTTTGCTACAACTTGGTCAGTTTATGTTTAGTCATAAACATAATCTTTTGCCAGAAAGATTTGGAAATACGTTTTCCAAACGTAGGAAAACGTAGTCAATTTCATACGTTCAATAGAAGAAATTCTTCGATATGCCTTTGTGTAGAACAAATATTAGACAATTTTCAGTTCGCTACCAAGGTTCAAACTTTTTCAATTCTCTTCCTCGTGAGTTGATAAACATAGACTCTTTTCACTTATTTTAAAAGAACTTGAAATTATTTTATCCTAAGGGAACCTAAATTTGTAAAATTTGGTTTTATTTTAGGCTCCTTTGTTACCAACGCTGATTTATTTAAAGTAGTTTTCCTTTGCCGACACAAAAATCTACGGTTTTTGATAAACTTTTCTGGCATATTAAATATTATTTACCTTTAATAATAGGTAATGATTCTCCAAGACTATAGCTTTTAACATTGATTTCCTCGATAATTCCTTTAGCTGCTTTTGAACCAATGAGATCATTGAATTCTCTTGTCAATTTTGATACGAATATTCGTTTCATTTCGGGCGAGTCTCTCCATTCTTTCCACAGAAAAGCAAATACGACGTTTAAACAAACACATGTCTCAGGTGTTCTCAGTCGTTCTCTGATGTCCTCTTCTGGTAATTCTGAGAGCTTTTTAAAGAAGTTCCTGAGTTCCTGCAGTTTGAACGAAATGTGATTAACTACTGTTGAATTGAAAACATCACACACTATAAGCCTAGGGTAATCAGGTAGTAGAATTATAACAGGGCTGCAAATTACTGTCGGACATCCGACAATGTTCGATCAAATTTGGAAAATGTCAGAACAAACCAAATTTTGAGTTGCACTGAGAATCTTAATAATAATACACTCTTTCGATAATTACGTCACAACTATACATTGTTTTCAACTTAGGACCACCTGAAATGGAAAGGATTTCAAGTTTTTTTCTCATGGGCTATGCACAGAGAAGCAGAACATCCTTCTTCAACAACAGGTCATGACCTGGAGCCTCGTTTTCGTGTTAATGCTTATTTCCATATTTATTGATCAAAACCCAACATTTTTTTTCATGCATGTGTTGAAGAAGGATGTTCTGCTTCTCTGTGCATAGCCCATGAGAAAAAAACTTGAAATCCTTTCCATTTAAGGTGATCCTAAGTTGAAAACAGTGTAGTTGTGACGTAATTATCGAAAGAGTGTATTCAGATAACATCAGGTGTCTGATGAGATCCTGAGGTAAATTTACAAATGTCAAAAAAGGGCACTCTATCCGGTGTCTCAGATTGGCTAAAAATGCATTTGCCATATAACATTTGTTACATCATTCTATAGTTTATACATTTATACACTATCATACTATTAAAATTCGTGTACTTATACTTGCATTTCTGAGGTCATATCTACAGTACAGGTAACATTTTTTCTATTGGTTAGAGTCTTTCCTCTTAATTTCTCCTTTTATCTAAACTTTTACAATTTTTTCATTCTTGCATACGGAAATATTTTCTGGGAACTCAAACCGTGGTCCGCTACTTTTTCCACCCCTGATAATTTGTACGTCGGAATAAAAGATGCGCGGTCAAGAAACTAGGGATCCAAGGATAGTGTAAAGTTTCAAATTGAATAAGATCGGGAAGAACTGCGTAGGGTCTAGCGGGTTAATTGGTTTGCTCAACAATTAGGCCAAACAACGTCACATTAGGCCTTTGTTTTTTTGTCTTAGCGTGTTTTGTTTTATTTGTTTTCAATAACGGCACTAATACGATTTGGCCTAATTCTTCATCTAACATACCAACCCTGCACGTTACTCAAAAATGTGGATTAGAACAAGGTTTTTACGAGAGAAACAATTCATTGTCACTTCCTTCGCCGTGCCTCGTGGAACTGGTACAATTTATTTATTTATTGTGATGCTACACGAGACAACTCGAAATTTAAATTCTTTCACCAGCAACCAAATTTTGTATATTCTAAAACTACAATTGCATTGGGAGCTGTCGCTGAAAGTATCCCCATAAGGCTACTGATATACTAAACTTATTTAAAACTATCAGCGCCCATATTGCACATTTAACTATTGTCTCAGTGACACAATTGAAATAGCTGTATAACTACAGTGTGTCCCAAAAAAGTACCCTCTATAGAAAGTATCTATCCTATTGTTATAAGGGTACTTTTTTGGGGACACACTGTAGTTAATATGACGTTGCATCCCATTACAAAAACATAAATCCAAAACACAGACACATAAAAATGAGGCGAAAAAATTCATTTAAATGACGCATTTTATCCCCATATCCGTTCCGCACCCGCTCCATGGATCCGCTAGGTTCCGCATCCGCTTCCGCATTTTAACTTAATTGTGACATGTTTCTCAACAACAAGTCTCAATGACCTTTGACTTTATATTCCCAAGGCGAAGATCAGGTTGTTGTTTTTTATGAGTCATTTTCAGCTTTTCGCAAGTATTCAATAATGTCACTTTAGATGTCAATAATTTCACAGTTACAGCAGAGTTTATAGCAGTTTTGATAAAGCTTGGATACAGATAGATTCTCGTAAGATCTGGTGATGTTCTCGTTGCATTTGAATATTGCATTGTGCCATTGAACACCAGTTTGCACCGTTGTGCCAGACATGTGAACAAGGCCCGTGACTACACGTTGGATAGCAAACGCCATACAATGATATACAAACACTACTTCTGTTTGATAGTTATTTATGCTCTACTGATCTGATGCAATGTTTTGCTCTTCGTACTGAGTGATCTATTCTGTGGTGTAGCAGTGTTACACCTTTACATTCGATGTATAATGAATATACGACTAAATAATATCGGCACGTAATTGAATGCCGGTATAAATGCACAACATCAATTTATATGCATCTCAAAGATTTTATCAATATTCATCAGTCTGAAATGTTTATGTATTTGAAAACAACGCTGTCTCGCTCCTTCCTAGCTCTGTATAATGAATACGGCACTTCGAAGATTTTCTCAATATTTATAATTAGGTCTGAAATGTTTTATATGCATTTGGAAAAAAGCACTATCTAGCTCCTTAATTCTTAGCTCTGTATAATGAATATACCGTCTAAGTAATATCGGTACTCGACTGAATGCCCGTAATGAATAACATCAATTTATATATTGCGTAGACTCTCAAAGATTTACTCAATATTCACATCTGAAATATGTATACATTTGAAAACAACAGTGTCGCTCCTTCCTAGCATCGTCACGTCATCGCAGGTCATCTACGGTTTGATAGCGCATGCGCATTTGCGCTGCTAAAGAAAAAATCGAGTGTTCCGGGGTAAAGATCTTTTACACAACATGAGAAGCGAATGTTATAAAATTTACAAAAAATTACAATAACGACAACCACTCCTCAAAATTTTTGTGAACTTGGCAAAAGGACAAAAGAATATTTAAATAAGACAACTGAAATTGCCTAAATAACCTTCAAAGCACTGACTAAGTACAATAAATCACTACGAACATATATCGTATATACACCCCCCCGGAAAGTTTACACTATTATGCCTGATCCCTGACTCATATGAATTTTCCCCCACTCATCACAATACTTGTCAAGTTTCGAAGAAACTTGACACTAAAAAGGCACTTTAAAGCTTACCAAATCACCAAGTGCACCAGCTAATCCAGCGGATATCCCTTCCTACAACACAATAAAACACAAATGAATGCTTTATAACGTTAGGCCTACTTCCCATGTACTTTGTCAATGCTTAATTAAAAAATAGGTCCGTGTGGCGTACATGCTGAGTAGCACCAAGATATATGAACATACAAAGTCGTCATTCTCTCGCGCAGTTAACTTGTGTTATTGACAAAACCATTTTATTGTACTCGTGTACTTGAAAAAAAATCGTGTTATTGACAAAACTATTTATGGACAATGGTGGAACTAACCGTAGATAACCGACTTTCGTTCACAATTCTATGCTCGCAAATGCATTACATTAATATGTCATCAAATTTGCGCCCCTTAGACCCCGTTTACACGGTACCGTACGAATTTGGGACCGGTCTGAAATTCGTCCTTTCTCGCCTGTTTACACGCGAATTCGTCCTGTTAGGGGGTCTCAAATTCGTCCGGTTCCGTGGTTTTCGTGTGTTTACACGGCCGAAACGGACGAATTTTAGTCCGGTTCCAAATTCGTCCGGTACCGTGTAAACGGGGTCTTAATTTAGATCTTTGGTCCTGACAATGCTTCTACTGATTAAAAATCAGTAGATGCAAATATCAGTAGATGCAAAAACTAAATAATAATTCATGAGGAAAAGACAAATAAAATCATACCGTGCATGTCGTTGGTTTTACATGTGATAAAATAAACTATATGTATACAGCTATTTCAATTAAGGTTGTCCACGAGCAAAGCGGAAAAGTCGAATAAGAGCGCGAAAGGCTGCTGGGAATCGCTAACAAATTAATGAATTTTCATAGCGATTCCCAGCAGCCTTTCGCGCTCGTATTCGACTTTTCCCCTTTGCTCGTTGATAACCTTAATTGGAATAACTGTATATATGTGATAAAATGAACTTCAGCTTCTCGTCTTAGACAACGTTGAACTCATAAGATGGGTCGTTTTTAAAGTCATATAAAACACTGGCAGTCCATGCTTAATCAGATATTAGACACTCGGCTGTCGCCTCGTGTTTTATATCCGATAAAGCACTCCTGCTCGTGTTTTAAATAGTACTTATTTAATTTACTTATATACATGCATACAATAGGATTTCGCATGTGTGAGAATTAACGTTCTTTCGTTGGCAGTGTTGTGCAGGTTTGTAAATAAGTAATACATGGATATATGCAACAACTTAATTTAAGTTATTTACGGTTGTTACAGGGAATAGTCAAAGCCAGGTCAACACTATAGTGCAGTACGTCTAATGTGAAAAGTCACTTTTCACATTGTTCAGACTGTCTATATTCTCTGACGCGTATAAGACAGTACTCTAAAAATGGCGGATATTGGCCATCGTGAGAAAGGCTAATTGAGATATTATACGCTACCTTAGTCGTGGAAGTTTCCACCTCCTTGGACACAGTAGAAGGTATGTTTCTGTTGTCTGTATATGGGATTTGTGGAGGTGGTGGTGTAGAATACGAATATCCACCGCCAGAGAATTGAGATGCGCTGTCAGAGTATGTCTGTCCGGGATACGTTTGGCCAGGGCTAGAACTATTAATAGTAAATTATTTAATGTCGATTACACACTCAGGGTGTGGTTGCCCAATTCAGTTGAGCCAGCTGTTCTTGATTGTCATAACTTCTAGCGAGGGATGAAAACCCTGAAGTGTACAGGAGGGAATCAATCAATAACACCAAACTCTATCTACATGAGTTTCAACTTTCAAGAACAGGGAAGTTACTCACATGCACTATAAGTAAATACCCTATCGTTAACCTAAAGTATAGCATACTGGGCTATCAGGTAAGGAGCAATGCGATAACCGCATCTTCAACCAGTGCGGCCCTGTGTCACCTCTGAAAAACTAAAGGAAAGCTGAAAGTAAGAAGAGGTAATTTCTGCGGATTTTCATGTATTTTTTTTTGTAATATTTCGGTGTTCTCGACTGCAGTTGAAGCGTTCATTTACATTCTTGATGGTTTATTAATCAAACATTCATCCATACAATGCTTTTATCTGTCTCATACCGAGAAAACTTCCACAAGTTCTCGGAGGCATCTGGGCACGAGGTAGATGAATGCATTATATTTAAATACCTGCCGAAACGTTTATAGAACTTCAACTCCAGAGAACACAGAAATTAATTCAAATTTAAAAAAATATTTTCTAGCCATAATTAATTTGTCAGAAATATAAAGCAAGGTCAAAATTTAAAGAAAAATACCAACTGCGCAACATCAATACTATAAATCTTCCTAAAAACCTAGCACAACGCGGGTATACTGAAAGCTGTGCGTCTAAAAAACTTTGACCGCGAGATATTACCAAACCAACTAACCTTTCCATGTAGCTTCCTCTGTAGCTAGAGTTGTCAAAACTCGAGTTATTTCCATACGAGTCATTTCCATACGAGACTTTGCCATAAGAATCATAAGAGGAATTATAAGGACCATAATTATACGGGGAGGCGTCACTAGGCACTGTAGATGACTGAGGATATGATCCTGGCGACTGTTCAAAATTATATCCTCCGGATTGGGACATTCCCCTGTTACTCCAAGCGCCTCGTGAAACAGTGTTTCCTCTGCCAACACCTCTACCTCCCCGAGTGTCCCATGTTTTGCCTTGACTGACTCCTCTACCACCGCGAGTGGCTCCTCTACCACCGCGTGTGGCTCCTCTAGCACCGCGTGTGGCCCCTCGACCTAAAGATGCATGCAATAGATGTTTTAAAAGCTTATAGTGAACCCGTGTTTCTCAAATGTGAGCAAACCTGGAAATAGTTGTCAGAATCATTTGCACGTATACCAGTAGTAAGAAATAGTAGCCATGTTACGTCTAGACAAACAGGGACGCAGCGAGGACTTTGTTGTTGGGTGCAGGGGTAAAATTACCTGACTTTTTAAAATACGCTTTGAGATACCTATAAAAGCAGTGTTTACCTGAAATTACCGCTGGTGGCTACGGCCCAATAGGCAAATAGGAAAATAAAGAAAACAATTTTATGTGTGCCAAACAAAACTAACAGTTGCGAAACAACGCATTATTGCGCAACATCTTTTGTTAGACATTCTGGAATGGAAATTTTGTTTCCATGCACCTGGCAAACACGGCAACAATCATACGCAAACCAGCCGTTGACAAACCTGCATTGTTTTGTTGAGAATAATCGGCGTTAAAACTAAACGGAGGGTTCTTAACTCTAGTTTTCACTAGTTGTCGTCCTTCCTCCACCTCCAAAATAATTGATTCTCGTGCTAATATACTGGTTATTTCTGAGCGTTTCTTACTCGCTACTCCTTTAAGAGCAACAGGTCGCTTGATTTTCTGAAAGAAACATAATATGCTATTAGTGATATAAGGATGGTTCTTTTACAAGTTTCGCATACCGATCGATAAAGCATCTACAAGTTTGCTACAAAAGGTTGATACTTGTTATCGAATAACTGTTACGAAACTTGCTACAAGTTTGTTTCTAGATTTGTTGCAATTAAGATTAGAACGATTGTCACAAGATTTGTTCCAATACTGTTGGAAGATTGCTGCAATTTATACAAGATTTGTTATAAGATTGTTACACAACTTGTTAGAAGATTGTTTCAAAACTTGGTACAACATTTTACAACACCAGTTGCAACATGGTCACAAATCTTGTCATAATTAATTTTGCTAGAACTTGATGCAGGATCCGATTGTGTAAATAGAAGAATGAGAAAGTTAACCAATCTGATTCGTGTATTTTAAAGATAACTACAATTTAAGTACAACATGGGTAGTTAAAAAGTAAATAAAGATTTTATACTACCCCGGACTTGTCAAAATGTTGTTGGAAACTTGCTACGCTGTTTCATAATTTGTTACAGCGCTGTCATAAAATTTGTTACAAGATTGTTATGCAACTTCTTGCAATTTCTATTCGCTAGAAGATTTGCCACCTGACTGTTACAAAATAATGCAACTTAATTTGTTACAAGATAAGGTTTAAAAAAAAGATATTGCATAGTTTGTTGCTGCTCTGTTACAAAATGTGTGACAAGATTGTTGCATAATTTCTTACAACATTGATACAAGATTTTCTACAAAATTGTTACAAAACTTGCAACATTGGTACAGAACTTGTAGCAACATTGCTACAAGATTTGTTACGTTGTTACAAATATTTGGCTACAATGCTACGACTTAAAAAGCAAGATGATAATTGGACGAACTTGTCACAAGTTCTTTAAAAAATTTGTTACCACTAGTCATCCTGCAGTATGCAATGTCAAGCCTGTTGTAAACAATTCTTGTAAGCGTACCGTAAATGATTTAATAAGCGCTCAATCTCTAATAGACGCTCTGGTCAAATCAGTATTTTGTCATTACCGCCCCTCTCTAATATTAAACGATCCATATCCAATAACCCCCTCACTATATGGACGTTTATTAGAATAAATGAAACGTTTATGAAGGATTAGATTATAAAATTATTAGGGTTGAAATGTATATACAATACATTGTAATAGCTTTAAATTAAACGTTGGACCCCGAATGTAAGATAAACGTCTCTCTCTAAAGGCCGTTTTCCACTAGGCGAAATTTCCCGCACGGAGCGGAATATTTCTTTGTCTTACGAATTCTCGGGTGGAACTAATTAGAAAAGACAAAGAGAAATTCCGCTCCGCGCAAAAAATTTCGCCAAGTGGAAAACGGCCTTAATTAGAAAAGACGAAGAGAAATTCCGCTCCGCGCGGAAAATTCCGCCTAGTGGAAAACGTCTCTCTAATATTCTCCTCGAATCTAATACACGCCTCTACTTAAAAGTACGAAAAATTAAGAAAAGACGTGGGCGCTACTAAATCAATTACGGTATTTGCAACTGGAAAATTTGAATATGACTATTTCTCAAGGTTGTTACAGCAATGTTGCAAATCATTACAATAACATTGTTACAGCATTGTTTGAAATCGTTTATAACATTGTTACATTATTGTCGCAAATCATTGCTATATAAAACAACCTCCTAAAACATTCATATTCAAATACGGTTGATTGTTACTTACAAACAATCAACGACAGAAAACATCTTCTTGTTTTGAAACACAGGTCAAAACATGAAGATGAACTACTTACCAAGACATTCATTCGATGTTTTTGTCCAACAAGGTGAGGAAACTTGAGATTATGATCAAATTTCGTAATACATACAGAACATTCATAGCGGGGATTTTGTCCAGCAACCTGGATCTCTGTCAGGTACTCCAGGCCTGTGTATGGGTGATTAAAGTACAGTAGTGGTTATATTTTAACAGTGAAATCAAATATTTCATTCTCACCATAGTTTAGGTGAAAATGGATTTATTTGCTTTCACTGTAACCAACGTGAAATCACAGGGGTGGAAAAATAGCCGGCCATGCGGCAGCATGAAATATTTTTGATCAGCAAAAAGACAAAAGAAGGTTTATACGAAAAGAGAACTGCACTTCAAGTGCACTACTGGTAGCATAAAGAAAATGATGTGCAAGTACAAAGAAGAAACGTCTTCATAACCTTGACAAGTTGGTAAGCTGCAGTAACCCCATGAACAGATCAAATATAAATCCTAACCACCAAAACTTGCAAAACGCCCGCTCTGGATGCAGACTACCAGCCCAAAATTAAACCTAGATTTTTGCAGTAGTTTTCTATATTAGAAATGCGGTTTGATTTGATAGGTAGACCAATCAGAAGTCAACTGCCATCTTGTTAGATCTAAACATTTACGTATAATGTTTTCTTAGGTTCAGCCATGAAACTAATTTTCCACCCCTGTAGAAAAATGCCGAAGGACTAATTTTTTTCACCATCACGAAGCGAAAATAAATAAGCTTCACAACACGACAAATCTGAATTCAAAAGCAAACTAAAATTAAACACTTAACTGTCATTCCCAGTATAACAAAGATTACAAAATTAAATATTTCATTCATTATTTATAGGTAATAGCATTTTTTTGAAGAGCAATTTGAGTTACAGAATCAGAGTTTTTCATCAACTCACGAGTAACATTTTTTTTTCAAATTGCAGTAGAATTCTTGCTATTACTTATTAATACTACATCAAATATTTAAACACATACAATCTTTGCAACAAAAAGTTTTGTATTAAGAACATGTTTCAAAAAGTGATTTTTGCACGAATTACAAAAAAAATAAAAACGTGGAAAGAATTACTTTTGCCGTCTGACTGAAATTGCACTGCTCACAATTGAGAATGAACTTCCAAACATTTTTACAAAACTGGCATATTAGTGACAGATTTAGGCCACTATAGAACGTTACAATTTGTACGTTACAATATGCCGAATGAATTATTCAACGTACTTGTTACAAATTGTCACGAGAATCTGTTATTATCAAATATATAACAATAACAAATGAATCAATAACAAATTCACAATGACAAGCTTGTAGTGAAAATATCTTGCACGCGCAGGTGCAGCACAGAAGTTTGAATGTGACTGTTTGTCAAGGCGTGTTACACCAATGTTGCAAATCATTGTTACAACATTGTTACTGTAGAATTTCAAATACGTACTTGTTACAAATTGTCACGAGAATCTGTTATTATGAAATATATACAATAACAAATGAATCAACAACAGATTCACAATGACAAGCTTGTAGTGAAAATATCTTGCACGCGCAGGTGCAGCATAGAAGTTTGAATGTGACTGTTTGTCAAGGCGTGTTACACCAATGTTGCAAATCATTGTTACAACATTGTTACTGTAGAATTTCAAATATATTATGCTCCTCCCCCCTTAAAGTCAATTATGTAGGTGTGTTTGTAACAACACTACAGTTACAAACCGTAACTATAACGTTGTTACTGTGACAGCATATGGTTATATATTATTGCAGCTGTAATATTGCTCCATTTTTTTGGAAAACAATGTTTAAAAGCTCGTTCAATATTCGTATTGAAGAGTATCTCTGAAAACATTGATTGAACTAATCAATAACTAATGAAGAAAATTCAAAAGATATCAATGTTTGATGAATTGTATCCACAGAGAGCATTCTCCTGATTTGCACACAGTTTTCACTGGATTATCTTAGTAACCACTTCGTTTTGAAGAAAAGCCAAAAAACTCGACTATTTGCACAGTAGATTGTTCCGTTTCAAAACGTTATACATACAACATTCGCGTCTATTTTGTATCTGATAAATGATATACAAAATACAATTACTATAAGAACTTGTGCCATATCATTGTGAAATTCTACAACGCAATTTATTTTATTATCGAAGACTTACTTACCACATACTAAACATTTTGGGAACTACTGTATATTGAGAACCAAAATAAAATGCACGTGGAAAAAATTTAAACACATGCAAACGTTACCTATAAGTGGCTCTGGATATTGCGCAAAATCGTGTGCTGCAACTGATGGCATATTTCTTGGTTTTGGCATGGTCTTCTGCATTCTGTTATAAGGCTTGTTGTTATGCATATTGCCAAACTGGTTATTTCTCATTGGACCACCTTATAATTAGAAAAGATTAATATATTTCTATTACGGATGAAGTTGAACTATGTACCATACAGTACATGTGCATGTTAGTGGTAGGATGGTTAAAAATGCATTTGCCTTTCGCCTCTGTCTCTCTGCAGTGTGACCCGAGTTCGATTCCTCAGTGCAATATGAGCTTTTCTGATTGAATGCAGTTCTAGTTTCTTCGGGATGCACTCTGATTTTCTCCTGCAGTCACACTGGAACAATGAGAGATGCCCCTCAGGGGACCTCAAATTCATTAAGGAAGAACAGTTTATAGAGTCAAATTGAGCTTACTATATATAGTGTTATATATAACAGGGTGTTAGCTACAGTCAAAAATTCCGCGTTAAACGCGGTTTTCCCAATTACCTTGAGGTCGCAATTTCCCAATTTGGGTCAGCCAAAAAATAGTTATAGAAATTCAATGTTGTTAATACGCCATTAAAAACATGTTTATAACTACATTTGCTCAAAATTACTCCCAAAATGCGGGAAATGCCATTTCAAAGACACAAAAATTTTAAAAATCGAGAGGGGGCAACCGCATGCCCCCGCATGCCCCCAGACCCACAAAGGAATGCCCGGCTTCAGGTTAAAATAAATTTCCCAATTTCAGGTAAACGCGGATTTTTTTTACTTCTGGCTAACACCCTGTATAAGAAGCACAATATTAGTTGTGTTCGGAAGAAGTTAACTACTGTACCGGTCTTATTCATAAACATTTCATTTTTCTCTTCAGCTTTTGCAATAGCTATTTGTTCCAAAGCCTACAGCACCGTGAAATATTGTTAGTAATAGAATATTAGTGTAATATTTATATGGGGATTGGTTTTATCCTCACATCAATATATTATCATAGTTTTGCATGAAACTGCATGTCATGCAGCGTAATATCAATGGTCTTGAAACACGCTTTCCTGCTGCGTGAATTTTTCATTTTGTATATGTAATATTACGATGGCCTGATCCACAAACACGATTTTTTATTCTATCAATATTTCTATTTACAGTACGGTATTCTTCCGATTATTTCAGGATTATCCAATTATTGCAGGATTTGTATACTGTTAATGATTTACACATGCATGCAGACATGATAATTTTTTAGTGCACACTGTTAAGTTAATCTGGCATGTTGTACATAATTGCCACCAGATGTATAATGAATATTAACATGTATATATCAGTGTTGTTCATTTATTAACAACCTCAATTTACATAAATACAATTTTAATTCCAATCTTAACATCAATCTTAAATCTAACCCTAGCCTAATATCCCTTATCCTAACCCCAATCTTTAAAATCCTTGTGACATAATTTCGGCATGATAATATGCATGGAAGTCACCAAACTTATTGATAAAGACATGCACAGAAAATTTGGTGCCTTGATTTTGCACGATTTTTTTTATATAATGTGAAGAACAGCATACAACTAATACATTACGCCCTTTATATAAGAATTTATATCACCAACAATCACAGAATAATTAATTGGATAAAAAATGTTAAAAACAATCCAACATGATTGCGTTTCTGTAACTGTTGCAAAAACGATTGTCCATATATCCGTCTCACTTTCACCACTTTAATGTTGTACAGTACTTTGTAGAATATATAGTACACGTTTTGTAAACTTAGTTTCCATTTATTTATGGAAATTGGTCGAATAATATGTATATGTGGTTACTTTTAATTAGTTTGTCCCAATGTAATTACTCTAGGGTTGAATGTTGCTGCCCTACTGGCGCCAAACCTGGCAAGGTTTGTACTGACAACAGATGCATAAGATGAACCTCGTAATCCGGCGATCAGCAAATTCTCTACTATCATATATTTTATAACAAAATTGAAAAATAGTACATTTGTTATCGACTATCGTGAATAAAATTTAATCGTAACTGACCTTTTTATGTTTCGCTCCCAACAAGTGTGAAACCCAAGGTTTGTGTCCATGGCATTCGACTACGCACACCTAAACAAGCATACAGTACCTAGTCTGATATGATGTGAAGCCTACAGTGGAACCTGTATTAAGCGGCGACCCACTGGGTTTTCGCAATTGAACTTCATTGTCATTGATTCAATCTATATCAGAAATTGTGTTGAAAGTGTTATCTAAGGAATGGTCACAAAGAAATATCAGCATGGGCCGCAATGCCAACACTTTCTTTACATAATATATACTCCTAAGCCTAAAGGCGGATTTCCATTCAGTGCAAAAAGTTTGCACGATCAATTTTTTACGATCGCTTTCTTTTGAAATATATGCAGTCGACTGTTGGATATATATATATATATATATATAACCCACAATAATGAGATGATGGATGTGGGACACATAAATTATATATACGACAAGAACGTCATTCAACCTAATACGCATGATTTCCCACAATCGTGAGGCATCAAAGGGTAACTGTAAATAGCAGTTACTTTCATCCTATATATATATATATATATATATATATATATATATATATATATATATATATATATATATATATATATATATATATATATAT